TCCCAAAGGAGTGAGTACCAGTAGAAGATGATAAATTAAAGACATCGGCTAATGCCTCAAAGGAAAAGACTTAGACCCCTGCACTATAAATCAAGTGGCATTTTAACACGATTGTTTCAGTACTGCAAGTAAATGCAGCAAAAGTTTCAATTCTTGTGTAAGCAAGTTGCGCTTAAAAAAATCATTTTTCTTAGCAGTACACATAACAATTAGCTAATTCATATTGTTGTACTATACTAGACAGAACCCAGCTTTATGTTCTAAGATAGTGTTAATCTAATAGGTCATCCTCCAATAAACATGGGAGTTGAAATATGGAGATGCTAAATTTTATAATGGGAAATTCTCTGCTTTTTTTGCAAAAGAAAAAATTAAAAGACAACTGTAGCCAAAAAAAAAAAAAAAAAAAAGACAACCACATCAACGGTAATGTCAACTATTGACTTTATGCTAATGGGTGTCTAGAATGGAGCACCCCTAAGCTTCTCTCCTAAGGGTAAATGTTCAGTCCTGGCTGGTGTTTCTCAGTGGTTACAGCGTCACCCCAAGCACCAAACAAAACAAAGGGCATGCACCTGGGCTTCAGGTTTGATACCTGGCCCTGGTCGGGGCTGAGACTCTTCAGTCTATAGGCTGATGCTCTATCCACTGAGCAAAACCAGCTAGGGAGCTGATATTTATTTAGGTGAAAAAATTTTAATGGATTCACAAATTGCTATATCTGGCTGTTAAGCACTTTGGAATTGTAATGACTTACACTTACCTCAAAAGTAGGTAATTTAAACTGTTAAATTGGTTTGAAGTGATTAGCATACTTGAATGAATCATAAGTAGCAGTTAATCATTAAATAGTGTTATATGCGCAAGATGTATTCCTATTTTTTTTCTAATCTGATAATATCACCTTGGAACTTTTTATTTAGCTGAAATAATTTAATTATTATACTTAAATAATGTTATTGATTAAATGTTATAATAAAAAAAGCCTTATGAAATATGTAGGCTTCTATTGAATTTAGTAAGTTAATGAGCATATGGTTTTTTTGAAATGTCCATCCAATCTTAAAGTTTTCAGAAAACACATTTTAATGCATTTGATTATTTTTGAGTGACTATCCAAACATTGGCTTTTTCTTTCCATACAATCTGTCATAGCCAGAAATTTGGCAGTTAAAATTTTTGAAGTAGATGCTAAGTAAAAAAGACCATTTAAATGGAAACAGATCAACTACATACACAATGAAAAAAGGCTCAGTGCCATGGGGATTCCTTCCAGAGAGGAAATGCTAAATCAGGTCACTTCAAAGGCTTCGCTGATTTTTACTTTGTGTTAGTTTTCTATTGTTGCCATAATAAATCACCACAAATTCATTCTCTTATAGGTCCGGAGTCAGAAGTCCAGCTCCTTCCAGAGGCTGTGAGGGAGAACCTAGTTCCTTGCCTTTTTCAGTGTCTTGTGGCTGCCTATTCCCTGAAATGGTGGCCACTTGCTCCATTTTCAAAGTGTACCACTTCAGTTTCTGCGTCACTGCCATTTCATCGTCCCATCACAATGCCATGTCCCCTGGTTCTGACCCCCAACCCCTCGGTCCATCTGCATAATCCAGGAGAATGTCCTCATCCCAAGCCTGCTCACTTAATCACCCTGCACAGTCCCTTTTCCATGTAATGTTTACAGGGTCCCAAGGACGACGGCGCAGAGACAGCGGAGAGGCCTAGTGGGGGAGCAAATGAAAGGCAGCTGATTGATGTCTTCTCACCCTCTTTCCTTCTTCTCTCGCTCTAAGCATGTCCTTGGGTGAAGATCGAAAACAACAACAACAAAAAAGACTGAAAATGCTTGGATTATTTCCTAATGAACTAAAAAAAAACCAAAAAAACCCACACCTTAAAAATAATAAATAAATCAGTACACTGGGTAAAGCATGTAACTCTTCATAATGTAGGTGGGCCTTATCTAATCAGTTGAAGGCCTTAAAAAAAAAAAAAAAAAAGACTTGACCTTCTACAGGGAGGAGGAAATTTTGCCAGCAGACTGACTGGGATCAAACTGCAACACCAGCTGTCCTCTGAATCCCCAGCCTGCTGGACCACCCTGCCGATTTTGGACTGGCAGCTTCTACAACTGCATAAGCCAATTCCTTAAAATCTCTCTATCTCTCTCTCTCTCTCTCTCTCTCTCTCTCTCTCTCTCTCTCTCTCTCTGTCCCCCCCCCCCCCCCCCGCCCCGTGCGCGCGCGCACACACACACACACACACACACACACACAGAATACTGTTTCTGTGGGGATTCTGACTAATGCATTCTTTGTAACAGCATTAGGAACTATCATAATCCCCATTTTACAGTTGAGGAAATTATGGCAGAGACAGGTTAAGTAACTTGGCCAGGGCAACACAGCAAGCAGGTAGCAGAGCTAGATTCCAATACAGTGTGTCCCCCAAGTCCTGCTCTTAATCACATGCTGTGCTGCTGTCCAGAGCACTGACCCAGTGGAGCTGGGGCCCACTGGGAAGGCCAGTGGAGAGAGACAGAACATACAAGGAACGAGAAGCTACAAATGCAATCTTGTACAAATGAGAAAACAGGCACAAGCCATCTGCCCAAAGTGGGACCTACAGTGGTTCAAGTAGTAGAACCCAGGTTTTACAACATGCAGCTTTCCCCTTTCTCCTTCCTACTTTCACTCCATTCTTCTACCCACGTCCTTTCCTCCGGCCTGGATTCCCCTGCTCTTCAGAGACCCTCTCAGTCACATGCCCCTCACGCTGCTTTCTCCTGGAGGCCCAGGAATCTTTATGTTCTGACCGTAGCCACATGCCTCAAACACCCACTAAGCTGTAGACAACACACGCCAGCCAGTGACAAAGTGCCCTTCTTACTGAGTGCAGCCCAATAACCCATCTAACAATGTCAAGTTCAGTATATCTAGTAAAATGGTTCATCTCACATGAATAATTATGGAGTCTGTTAGCAATTATTTGGAAAGTAAAACAAAACAAAACCCCTCCTCCCTAAACTCAGGAAGCCCAGTGGGCATTTAGTTCCAAATATACATTTTTATGAATTAACTTCTCAAGGAATTAGGTATCTTTGAAAATATATTCGATATAAGAAAATCTCCCAATTACCTGAATTGGGTTTTTTGAAAACTAGTCTGTTCAAGCTTGACTTTTTGGGACTGGGAGCCACGGGGGTATAGGAACCAACATACCATCAGAACCTCAAGCACAAGCACCTACTCCCACCTCATTATTATGAGTGTCAGTATAAACTTCCTGAAGAAAAATGTGAAAATACGCATTAAAGCTTTAGAATTTGTACATTTTAATCCAGCAGTTCTGCTTCCTCTAAAACTTTATCCTAAGGAAATAATCATGACCGTGTATAAAGATCTTGCTATAAAGATACATATATCACAGCAATAGTGAGAATAATGGTGAGAAATAATTTATTTCTGGATTGTATGGGATTGAGCAACCAAATTATGACATTTCCATGTGATGGAAAACTATGCATTCACGAATATTAGCCCTGAATCATAATAGCTAATGCTATGGAAAGATGTTTCTGACATACAAATAATTTTTAAAAGCACATTATAGAACAGCATATGACACAAAATCTCATTTCTGTTAAATATATATTGTGTGAAAGGCAGCCTCTTATGAGGGCCCCAATAATGCCTACTACTGAGAATTCACACACCTGTGCAGTCCACCCCACACTGCACCAGTTTTGGTCTTTGCGACCAAAAGCATAGAAAAAGAAGTGATGGCATACCACTTTGACATCTACACTGATAAAAGAGAAATATGCAAATTGGCCATACCTTCATGACACCCACTAGCCAATCAGGAGTGAGTATGCAAATTAACCAAAAGATTGTGGGTTAATTTGCAAACGCAGGTGCGGAGCAGCTGGGTGGGGCAGTATGCCTGCTGTGAAGGTGATGGAGGGGGGTAGAGGGAGCTACAGGAGTGGCACTCCGTCCAGAGCAGAGAAGACTGAAGACAGCGGCCAGAGCAAAGGCCTGGGTCCCAGCTGCCGGAGGAAAACTGGTGCCGGCAGCCAGGGGAAGGAAGGCCTATTGAACGAATCTTCGTGCAACAGGCCTCTAGTTAGATTATAAAAGACTGTGACTTCCATTTTAACCACATGTGCTTTTTCTTATCTTTATTATTTTTTTCTCTCGGATCACTTGGTCTGGTAGAAGCAAGCTGCTATGCTGTGAGAAGCCCTATGGAGACGCCCCTGAGAAAGAACTGAAGCTCCTGCCCAACAGCCTGTGAGTGAGACTGGAAGGTGCAGGCTGACTGGCCCAACTGAGCCTTGGGATGAGCAGAGCCTGGCTGACAGCCTGCTTGCAACCTTGCCAGACCCTGAGCCAGAACCACCAGGTAGGTGGTACCTGTGTTTCCGAACCTCCAAAACTGTGAGGTGACAGGTGCTTACTGTAGTCTACAGCGGCTGATTTTGGGGCAATTTGTTACATGGCAGTAGTTAACTAATACCTATGTGCATAGTGAAATGACTGAAAGAATAGAATCCAAAATACTAGTAGTGGTTCTCTCTAGGTGGTGGAATAATAATTTTTATTTTCTCTTTTTTTGTACAATGTTGGCAACATTTTCTTTTTCAGAAAACAGGAAAAGAAAACCACATATGACCAAGAGAGATCATATGACCTTCTAAAGAATCATAGCATAAAGATTAAGAGAGACAATTTTAGTTCTAATAACTTCTTAAAGATTCTTTTCATGTAAGTTAGCTTAAATATGCAAAAAAGGAAAGAAAAAGGAAAAAAATACTCCAAAAAACACGCCTGAACATCACGGTGGAGTAGGAGCTACCCACCAGAAACCACGCAACACACTGTGAGCAGCAGCATGCAACACGGGCACGGAAAGGAGACTCTCACAAGCCTCCTAAAGGGAAAACCCAACAGTAATGATGAAGTCATCTGTTAGCAGATCATCAGCACAGGCGTCTTGCTTACCCAGCTTCTGGTCAAACCGCCACGCTGCGACATAGGCATTGTGCCTCAGACTGCTCTGTGTGGCCAGGGGCACGGTGACATAGATGGGGCCATCCACCAGCACCGGCGTTCCATCACTGCTGAGCAAGTGCACGCTGACAGCTGTGACTGGGCTCAGGTCGTACCTGGTGCCGTTTCCTGGAAGCAAGAGGCATTCTCCATCACACGCACACAGAGACCTTCGTGGGGCTGTGGAAACCGTTTCCAAAAAGATAGTCATCGCTACCAATTGACAGATACCACGCCTCCTATCTGCCAGGGATGGCTCTAAGCACTTTGCACACATAATCCTCACCTCGACTTGAAAAGTCCCCATTTTACACAGAGAGAAACTGAGACTCAGAGAGGGTCCTACTGGGAGCTAGCCTAAGGGCATAGAACAGTGGGTGGGAAGGCTAGGATCCAAACTCGGGCTGCCCAATCTAATTACTGTGTTTTACTTTTAAAAATCCACCTCCAAAGGGAAGGACTTTTTGTCAATGATGTGACTGAGAGGTGTGTGTGGAAATCCCCGAAACCGACTCAGTCACAAAGGGAGCCCTGTGCACATGTTAATTGCTTGGCAGATCACCAAAAGGAAATCAGTATTTTCAATTAGAGACTACTTAAAAAAAAAAAAAAAGTAAATTTCTTCAAAAAGTTCTTCAAAATATTAATTTACTTCCACTAAAAGTACACTATTGAAAGTTTGCGCTTGAAATATTTATGAGTTACTTTAGTTGCCATTGCTATTTTGATCTGTTTAAAAGGAATTAAATAAAACAGTTATTCTGTATTTGAGACCTTTTATCCAAGCCAATGCTTTAATGACTCTACTTTACAGATAAATTAGGCAATGCTTATAGAGTGGCATTATATTTATACACGTAAGCAATCCATTTTAGAAAACCTTTTCTCAAGTGAAATACGATATCACACAAAATGCATTCTGTCATAACTTTAAATCTTGCATTAAACACAATGACAAAAACACAATGGTAAAACAATTTTAAGCTACATCAGAACACAATCTATAGGATTTCTTATTAAGCTATGTATATACTATTTACATACCCATCAATTATCTGAGCGAATTCAAACTTCCAATTAGGACTAAATTTAAATATTTAAAGCTTACTAAACTTGACAAACTCAGGGGAGGCCTGCAGGTACACTTTACAAACTCAGAGATCCAAAGTAACCTCATAGAGTGGCCTGAAAGTAAAATTATTTAACTCAAGCATGTCAAACTCGCGGCCACAGGCCGAATGCGGCCCACAACAAATATTTTTGCAGTCCAGCCAATATAAGGTATGTAAGGAACATTTTAATAAAAACTTTGTAACTTAATTATTACAATATCCTGTTATACATAATTATCGCTAACTAACTACAATGTTCGCTAATGACTGATTACTATAATCATGTTGCATTCACTTCCCTTATCCACCTTACACACAGGCGCACCATTTCTCTCCACGAATACTAGCAGTGAATATGTTAGCAGCTGATTGCCACGTTATTAGTCTTGGACTGACTTGTTTGGTGTGAGCAATAGGAAATACTTTGCTTTCGGAGAACAAGGAAAATAGGTTTATTTCCGTTATGCTTATTAATTTGTGCAATTATTAGTGTCTAATAAGTTAATGTTCGAGAAAAAATATTAATTTTTATTAACATGGTCTATTATTTTATGTTAACGATTACTCATTTACTTCAGCCCTTTGTATTCAGAATGTCTCTATCAAAATAAACCTGTTTCTATGAAAATTGAAGCTTTTGTTTTTTTTTGTGGTCCACATAAACTTAAACCTTGTTTATTTGGCCCATGTTAGCCTTTGATTTTGACATGCTTGACTTAACTAAAAATGAGTCATGGTAGGTAGTCATTCTAGACAAAAGTCGATCTTTATGTAGCTGAGCTTGTCCATTGTCTTTTGCATTTAAAATAACATACCTTTGGAATGTCTGAGTAATCTTCCTTTTTCCAGCCCCCTCAGGGGAAAATCTCCCACCAGAGGGCAATGAAACTCCTCACTGTTATCTTGTTCCTCTGCACACCATCTCCATGTACTATTAAGGCAAACTACTAACTATTCTATTCTCAGAAATGTAAAAGGATTATTTGTCTCTGCATTTTACTCTTTATCCTACCTCGGAGACTTCCTGGCTTTGCTTTCTCCCACCTCCCTAGTCTGCCACCAATGGATTTCATGTAACCTCCCCTATTGTAATGTATAAAATGAACCACAAAGCTGCCATTCTCTGGAGCATTTTCTCAATCTGTTGAGATTTTGTTTCCTGTCAAGTGCCATCTGTTTGGCTCAAGTAAACTGATAAAAATTTAGATGTTCCTTAGTGAATTTTAGAGTTTCAACAAACCACAGCTAAACCCTTTATGGAGCAATTTCTATACAGCTACTGACAGCAGTACCCTTTATAATATATACCCATATCTGTTTTTCAATGTAGGGAACTCTTGGAAATGGGGACTTGATCGAAGGTCCATGTTGGAGTCATATATTCAGGTTCTGAAATCTTTTAATCTGGCCATTTTATTTTAGGATAAGAAAACCAAAATCCAGACTTTGCCAGATTTCTGGTCAAAATAGCTTATGGACCGAGGCCTAAATGTGGGCATTGCCCAAAGGTAACACAGAAGCAAAGCCAGATTAACAATATGCACCTCTCCACTGGGTTCTGTTAGATTCTCTGATGAGATAAAACATAAAGAGAAACTCAGTAACTTACTATCTGCTGTATTAAACAACTCAGAGATAATGTTTTCAGTTAGCAAGTGCTGCCTCCTTTATCAAACTTGGGGTAGGAAGTCTGAAGAGGGAAGCAGTAGGTAGAGTCAGACAACATTTCAGACATCATCATCCTTCCTCTCCTCCTGCTCCACTTAGCCTGGGTTCCCAGATATGACAACTGTGCCCTTTGGATATTCCCTTCCCAGTATCTGGCACATCTCAGGCACAGGAAGCAGGGTTCCCATAGCAACTGCTTATGTGGCCTCAGGCAAGTGACTTCACTCCTCAAGTTTGTTTACTTATCTGCAAAACTAAGGAGGTTGGGCACAGCTGGTGTGGCTCACAGAGCATCGACCCAGGAACCAAGAGGCCACCAGTTCGATTCTGGTCAGGGCGCATCCCTGAGATGGGGGTTAAGAGGTACCTGGTTCAATTCCAGATCAGGGCACATGACCGGGTTGTGGGTTTGACCCCCCCGGGGGTGTGTGCAGGAGGCAGCTGATTGATGATGTTCCTCTCTCACTGATGTTTCTATTTCTCCCTTCCTCTCCCTCTAAAAAATCAATAAAAACATATCTGAAAAAGAAAAACAACAACAACAAAAAACAACAACTAGGAGGTTGGGCTAGATGATTTCCTGAGTCCATGGAAAGAAACTGATTCAGCTATAAACATTCAGAAGTAAGTACAGCACTACAGAAAAGGGCACATTAATTTAGTGCAATACACATAAAGTTCAAGTGATTCGATGTTCTTTTAAAAGTCCTGCTTGCCCTAGCAGTGTTGCTCAATGGTTAGAGTGTCCAATTCCTAGACAAGGGTACATACCGGGGTTGCTGGTTCAATCCCAAGCACCTGGTTGGGATGTGCTGGGAAACAACCAACTGGTGTCTCTCTCGCTCTCTCTCTGTTTCTCTCTCTCTCTCTCTTCGCCTCCCTCCCTTTCATTCTCTCTCTAAAAACAAAAAACAACAACAATCAATGGGAAAAATATCCTCAGGTGAGGATTAACCACAAAAAGTCCCCTGTTGGAAGACACTGCAGGAATTCCATCTGCCTGCGGAGGCCTTTCTCAGGGCCTCACCAAATGTCTTTCAAAGGGTCCTCCTTCATTCCTCCCTCTGACCTCCCACTTGCTTTATTCTAGAAAGATTCATACTTTGAAAGGCTAAATTGTTCCTCCTCCAGTCCTTGTTATGAGACTGTAACTCTACATGAAATACTGAGTTCTGTGTGTGAGAGGTTCTTTCCTTTCTGTTCCATTTTGATGGTACCTGGCTCCTATCATGTCCCAACAGAGATGTGTCAGGCCGAGCAGCAGGGCCAGGGCTGCACCACCACCCATGCTCAGAGCCTGATTCGCCCCTTGGAATAGAAGGGGCAAAGCTTCTGTCTGGCTTTGCACCCATTACCAGCCTTTCTGACTGCAGAACCACTTCACCCATTAGTCGTTTTACTGCCTCCCCGCTGTCTTCTGGGAGTTACTAGCACAAGTCGTTTCTAGAAAGCCCCTCGGGGACGTGACAGGGTAGTGCTGTGCCGGCGTGGTCTGTGGTTCTGTGTGATGTCAGGACACTAAGAGAGCGGAGGGGCGGGGACGAGCAATCGAGGACATGGCCGAAGTCTCCACGTGGCTGCATTTCTCTATTTACAATTCCAGAAGCTTCTTCTAAACTGGACACAACTCCCCGTAGGATGCTCCAAGAGCACTTTCTTATCACATCTGTGGCGTCCGTTCACCTTCACTGAACTCTATTAGGCCCCGTCATCTCACACAGGTACAGGTTGTCCAGGCTCTCATGCTAAGCTGAATCTCTTAGGTGTGGTTTACAAAACAGAAGGCAAACAACTCTGGGGCAGAGGAGCCACTGTGCCCAGCTGATGAGCTGTTGGGGAGCCCCACGGAGTCCATGCTCCCACACCCTCACAGGTGCCAGTGAACACACTCAAAGAATTTTCCCTGTGTCACCTTAGTTATTTCCATGGAAAAGAAGCTGAATGTAACCTTTCAAAGACCTCTCTTTCCTCTAAAACAGTGATTTTTAAATAAAACAAACCACTGGGAAAAAAATTAAAAAAATAAAAAAATAAATAAAACAAACCACTGAAATAGTCTATGTCTTTGTGTTCTTCCCCCACTTCATCTAGGATTTCATAATTTATTCAAGAGAGGTCATTTATCCAAGTTGGGGTTTATGATTGCACACTATTTTGTCAGGGAGACTGGGTGGAGATTTCATGATGGTCTCCGATTGCACTTGATCACGCTCTCCACGAAACATGAATTTTTCTCCTCGGGCTGTACATTTAAAGTGAAAGTTAACGCTTACCCCAATAATGTTTATGTAAGATGGCTACCATGCATCTTTCCGGTTACTGACTATTAATTGCATTATCATCACATAAAAATTAAAGGAAAAAGAAAGATTTCTGAAAACAAGTGCTGCAGAGGGAAGGAAAGCGAATGACCAACCACCAGGTCACCTTGATCTGTAACCAGTAGTTTGTATTAATTAATTTAATATTCTACAAAATGGATCAGATGCTGCAGGTTTCGAAGCTTTTTCAGAACCATCAGTTATGTAACCATTCTGAGGTGATACTCAGTGAGAGTGTCCCTGTGGGAAATGCAGTAACTTACTAACCAAGCAGGATTTATTTAACCCAGAATAGCTCCTATTTTTCTGAGTTTATGTTGTGACTAAAGTATCCAGGAAAAGAAGAGGGGAGACAAGAAAATGAATCAGGACTTCAGAACCCCCCACCCCCACCCCAGTTACCAGAAGGACAAGGGACCACGGCAGCACATGCACCTGACGAATGATGCTGCTGGCAGGGAGCAGGGGTGGAAGGCACCCGTCTCGTCTTTCCTGATGAGGACGTATTACACATGCTCTGGCTGGGGGCTTTTACTTCCTCTGATCCACTGGGGGTGGAGGGCACTGGTTTGCTCATCTCGGAGCAGCCCCGGTACCACTTCCCCCCCAGCTGTGACCCGGGGTTTGGCAGGTGGGGCTGCGCATCTCTGCAAGGCCAGCGAGGCAGTCAGCTGCCCCACCAAACACACGGTCTGAGGGCAAGTGGGACAAGACCGAGGACAGAGGGGCAGAACCCCTTCTAGCCTGATTTAATACTTAAAAAATAATTTTCAATTTAAAAAGCTTCTCTGAATTAAATATATTCACCAAAGAAGAGCTCAGAGAAGGGGCTGAAGGCAGCAGGGACCGGGAGAAAGGCTCCAGGAGACAGCCGCTGCTGGGACGGTGCCGTGGTGCAGCCTCAATTCCTTAGGGAACAGCTTTGAGCACCCTTGGCCTTGGAGAAAGCAAAGCACCCTCCCCTCTGCAGCTTCAGTTCTCCCACGCAGTGCCAACCCTTCAAGCCACACGCAAAGATTCAAACACGGAAGCCAGGATGCACGAAGAAGAGACTCACATTACCTGTTCTGTTTCCGTCTAATCCTCGCAGGTACGGGAAACTGCCGGCCTCGGAGGGGGAGCCGGCGGCCGTCAGGAAGGCGGTCAGGTCGCTGTAGCTGGTGTTCTCCGGCAGCCGCAGCGCTCTCCTCTGGAAATGGACGCGAGGCTGCGGCCGGGCACCTGCGGGAATTCACCCGTTACATCCCGAGGGAGCAATTTCTGCTTTTAGACCACGCGAAACAGCAAAAACGAGGAGGAAGTGCTGCGGTGAGGTTCCAGCAGGCCTCCCCTGCCCTGGGCTCTCCCCACATCTCCTCCACCCCATTTGCTTCACGCAGGACACCACACGCTATTATGGGGAGAGAAATAATAGCCCATTGTCCCATTTGTTTTGACACAGGATGTTTTTTAGGCTTTTCAACAAAAAGCTTTCCAAGTGCTCTCTGTGAGCAGTCTTTGCACACACAACGTTTGCCTATGGATGGGGTAACATCTTGGGAAACAAAGTCCGTGTAAGTGAAACAAGTAGATGACAATCTCTTTACACAAACAAGGCAAGCGATACCCTTTGATTTGGCTGCAAACACATCCTTCTCTGTCTGGTAAAATCTGGTTGAACGCCACAGACCTGATCAACGCGGAGGCAGGAATTGAATGTGCAGCCTGCCTGGACAGGAACTGCAAACAAGAGCCCAAGAGTAAGGAGCCCGTTTCCTGCAGGGGAGCTGCCACCTGGCACCCCGCCTGGCTGGTGGGGTGCATCCTATGGGTGACTGATTATGTTGCAGATGTTATGACGAGGCTCGCAATGTGATGCTCCCCTTTCAATGCCAACTCTTCTATGCAGAAGAACGGCTGAGGAGACAGGCCCTTCAGACAGTTGCCTTGCGACATCACCCGCTGGTTGACTTTGCTCTAGATGTGTTGACTGTAAACCTGAACCTGTTTTTACCTAATGCCGAGGCGGCAGTCACAAAACGTAAAGGTGTGAAGTCATTTTGCACAAACCCAGCAAAAACTTCAAGACAAAAGTGAAAGAGATGGGAGTTGTAGCATTTGCCAACATCTCTCCACATTAAAATAAAGTGGTTCCTTAAAGACAATATTCTGGTCATCATATATATCCTACCCCAGCTTGAGGAGACCATGTGGCTGACTGGGGGTGCCCTCTCCCCACCATGGCGGTCTGGCCCAATAGCCCTGCCCAGAGTTGATGGTCTAATGCTTACTCCAGGGTTCCTTTTGCCTCCAGATCACAGACTTTGAAGGGGATACAGCTATCTAGAAGTGTTTTAGAATAAGGGAGTTTTAGAGCTCGAAGGATCAACTAGCCTACGTCTCTCTTCCTACAGGCGAGGCCACGGAAGCCAATGGGTTGACTGCCCACATAGACGTGTGGGGTAGGCGAAGGTGGTCACAATGCTCCCCAAACTCCTAAAAATCACTGATTAGATTTCTCAAATGGCTGGTTCTCCACACCATAAAACAGTCCAGCCTTCAGGCCCAAGAGGGCCAAAGTCATGAGAGACCCACTTAAGTCTGGTCACACTGAAACTGAGCGGCACATGCACCAGTCCAGTTCCAGACCATCGGTGCCCTTTCTCACCCCCAAAACAAGCCTCGGTTACATAGGAACATCCACGTCCCTTGAATTGTTTATTTGTACATCTTTCCTCTTCAATTTCTTCTTAGTCTGGTCTTCTTTTCCTGATTTCACAGAGCAGTGCTGTCTTCCTGCTGTCATCGCCTCAGTCTGCATAGTTCCAATGCCACATGGACCTGCTTCCCAGGCTGGGAGCTCCTCCTGCTCCCCTCCTTCCACTCCCCACATGTGCTGCTTGCCTCCTCGGACCTCTTCTCTGCTGCCCTCAGAGATGAAAAGCCAAGTCAACCCTTTCTTTTTCACCTCCTCACCCCAACCATATAACAGCCATTGCGTCCAATACTTTTTTCAATGGTAGTGAACTTTTTGAGACTTAATTTCCCTTTCTCTTTTGTTCTTCAGTCTAAAAATGGTGCTAACGCTGGGTTTCACACAGTATGGAGACAAAGGACTCACTGAGATGAAGAGTGATGTGTCTAACGTGTGACAGGCTGGTCACCCCGGAGCAGCGCAGGAAATGTGTGCCCTTCCAAGTCTAGGACTAGCCCCTGGGAGATGGGTGGGATGAGGTCTCCATGAGGTCCCCTGGCTGTAAGGAACAGAAACCTACTCACACTACACCAGGGACAAGGGAATCACACCGAACCCATAGATAAAACACCCCAGCCAGGCCTGACAGGGATGGTCTAGGACCTGGAACCACAACCAAGCTGCTCCCAGCTCTCAGGGGCCCCCGGGATCTCATTCCAGTTCTGTGCCTGCCTGTCTCCCTCGTACCTTCTCTTATTCTCTAACATGTTATGCATTTTAGTGGGTAATTTACTCCTCCCCTCCCCATCCCTGTTTCCTCTCTCCCTCTGCTGCCTCCCTTCCCTTTCTGTTCAGGAGAAGTTGGTCCTTGGCACAACATTTGGGTCTATCTGCTGTGGCTGGGGAGCGGGGGCCACAGAGGGGCCATGCTGGGGCTGGTGTACTACAAGGAGAGGTGGCCCGGCTGATTTGACACACGCTGTGACCAGCAAGACCTGGATTCCTGTCTGCTGAGGGACCAAACATGCACCCCACGGAGCACAAGCAAGACCTGTGCCTGGTGAAGAACCAAGGAAACATCTGAGGAGTGGAAGGCTCCAGGCTATTCGAAGCCACGGTGTAAGTATAGTTTACGGTGGGTATGGGTGGGGCTGAAGGAGCGTTATGTCCTTAAGCCTATCTTCATGTGTTAGGGCTGCTAAGTTCCCCACCGTTCAGGAAGGGAGGTAATTGGGTGGGGATGAGAGATGGAGAGTGGACAATCTGTCTGTCTTCTCTGGATGCCTCTCTCCCACCATCCCCACAGCAACTGTTTCAAACTTCGGGCTCCAACCACCATTCCCAAAATGCTCAGACTCTCTTCTATGGAAAATACTGGGGCCATCGCATCCTCTCTCTGCACTTTAAAATCTTTCTTCCGTCTTCTCTCCTTCCCTGCTCTCTTCCAAGGTCAACCCAAGTATCCTCACTTTTGCCTGTTTTATTGCACGACGTGGCTCAACCACCTATTTTCTGCCTTCGCCAATAATCTGCCTTATAGGCCTTTCCTCCCCAACCAACATACATACCCATTCCTTCCTCATCTAGAAAAATAACAACAAAACATGACTTTATCTGTTATTCCCATAAGTAAATGGCTTTTCTCCTTCCACCCAACCCCCAGTGATGTGGCTTCTACCCCCAGCACTCGCTGCCCTTGGTAATGTCAACTGATGACTGCATAATGTGCAAACCCTGGGACCGCTTCTCAGCCGTCATCCCCCGACCTCTTCACAATGGTGGGCCTGTTCACCGCCCCCGCCTTCTTGGCATTCATGGTCCTGAACTCTGGCCTCTCCAGAGTCAGCCCACTTTTCCTTCTGCTAATGCTTTCTTCCTCTTCCTACCTCCAATGATACAAGACTCCCCTCTGCTGCCACAGCCTCAGCTATTACCCTCCTCTCCAGCCCGGCCTTTCTGCCAACCTTCATATCTGCATTCCTCTGCCTTCTAGACACTGAACCGCTCTACCCATTAAGCACTCGAAAATCACCCTCAGCCTCTCTCCCATGTAACAACACCCCATTTTCTCCAACCTCAGGTTTGATTCCAGGTTGTCACTATCTTTTTCCCTTTCTGCTAGTCTGCACATTTGCTCAAGCACCAGGCCTGGCCAATCTCCCCTTAGCAACATTTCTAGCATCATCTTTTCTTCCCTTTCTGCCGCCACCCTACAAAACCCTATGTTACTCCTTGCCTTAATTATTGTATAAGTCTCTTCACTGGCCCCTTGCTTCAGACTTATTCCTTTTCATCTACTCACACACTGACTTTTCTAAAATGATACTCTGATTGCATCCTCTCCCTGCCCAGAAACTTTCAAGGGATCTACTCCATTTATCAAATTCACAATGGCAGTGACAATTTAGAGACCAACTAGACTCAAACTACTACTCCACCTGTCCCGTGAGAGCTATGGTTCAGTGGTTTAATAATTTAAAAAGTTACTGCATACATATTATTTTATTTAATATTTACAACAATCTTGGGAAGAAGGAACTCTCCTCTCTTTATGATGAGAAAACTGAGACTCAAAGAAGTTAAGTGACTTGCTCAAAGTCATTCCGTTTATAGGAGGCAGAAATGAATTCTTTTCATTCTCACCTACATATCCCTCCCTAGTACACCAAGCCTATATCAGAAGAGATGCTCTGGTCAAGTGGGACCGCACAGCTCTCTGCTTCTGCACACGTGTTCCTGCTCTGCAGCTTCTCCCATCCTCCGTCGCAGGCCCTATACCTCACCCAAGACACATCTCAAATGCCGCCTCTTCGGTGTAGCCTATCTTGATCTCACCCCATGCTCTAAACTATACTTGTATCTCTCATACAGCACTGATCTTTCTGTGCTCTGTGTTATGTTTATTTGTATATTTCCAAACTCCCTGAACAGACTGGTGGTTGCCGGAAGCAGGGGGTGATGTGTGGGGGAAATGGATGAATGGGGTCAAAAGGTACAAACTTCCAGTTATAAAGTAAGTCCTGGGGATATAACACACAGCATGGTGACTATAGTTAATAAAACTGTGTTGTACATAGGAAAATTGCTAATGAGACTTACTGTAGTGATCATTTCACAGCATAGATTTGTATCAAGTCATTATACTGTACACCTAAAACTATAATAATACAAGGTTGTAGGTCAATTACATCGTAATGAAACGGGAAAAAGGAAAACTGTTAGTTTTTCAGTTTGTGAAATAATAGTAGCAAAGCTAATCAAAGGAAAATTGGAGGTCCCAAGGCCAGTGGGCTGAGGCCACGGTGTGGTTCTACTGTGCTGGAAGCTGAGGACTAAGGCCTCCGTCTGCTCACTGAGGGGGAGAAAAAGGTGATCACTCATGGCTCTCACTGTTTTCTCTCCCAAACTCGAGTTACATATGCTGCTAGAATATTACCCATCTTCTAAGAGCAGAGGCTACACATTCACCTCCGTGTGTTCTCATAGTGACTCACTGATAAAGAATGAATGAGTTCAGCTCATTTGCAGATGGCACATGAATGTGCTTAGATGAAGAATTATTGTTATAAAATGGTATTAAAATATAGACATAAATAAAATACTAATTTGGTAAAGCACTGAAGCCCAGGAAATAGCATTCTCAAGGCCCATAGTTTAGGTGGAACCTCATCACAGAAATACATTCAACTCAAGAGTTATTCCTAACCCCAACTCCATCCCAAGGGGAATTACAAGTCTTTGCAAGAATAAGTTCCAGGGGTGAGGTCATGCTTGCACACATCGCTGCCCGTGGCATGGACTAGACTAGAGAGGGAAGAGCCACACTCCAGTGTTCATGAACTGTGTTCCTTTTTTGTTGGGGGCAGAGGGGGTTGTCTTTATTGTGGTAAAAATCTAGAACACTGAATTTAACATCCTAACCATTTCCAAGTGTACAGTTCAGTAGCATTAAGCATATTTATATTTTTCTGCAACAGATCTCTGCAACCTTTTCATCTTGCAAAACTGTAACTCTGTACGTTTGAATGTTTACGATCCTTTTAAAAGTGACTCTGCCTACTGGTCAGGGAGGCCCAGGCAGGGTCCTGGCTCTGACCTCACGAGGCGAATGCCTGTCCTGTGGAGATGAGAGAGGTGTGGTCTCTCTGACCAGGACAGAGTGGTGGAGTCCCTTCTTTTCTCTCAACATCTAGCAGCTGAGCCTACCAGAAACAAGATCACAGCCAATAGACAATTTAACCAAAATTCAAACGTGCTGTGCACTGACAGAGACAATGGCTGGTATTTCTCAGCTTTGGAAAATTCACTACTATCACCACCTCATAAGCTGTCCCTCGTAAGAGTTGAGTAGTCAGCCCAAAAGTTACTGTCAGTTCTCTTTTTAAATATTCAACATACCTTGGAATCCTGAGACTATTTGGACAATGTCTTCATAAACCATTAGAGTAGCGGATCGTTCTGGAAGCAGGCCGAGGCTCAGCGAAGAAAACACTGCAGAGACAAAAATGGATGTAAGGGAATTCATTTACATCCAAATGCCCACTCTAATTTTTGTATTCTCTGATTTCAGATCAATCAATAATATTGATTTTCGCACTGAGACATATTTATTTAGTCTCCGCCCCTGGTTCCTAACATAGAGCTCCTAAACCCTTGGTCATTTCCTGAATGCTGGGGGCGGTGGGAGCACCTTTCGTTCTAACGAGGTGACTTGGGATGGGCTCCTGGATTGGTTGCCAGAAAGATCAAGTCATGGTTAGAAACTTGGAATTTCAGCCCCTTTCTTTACAATATCCTTTATAATAAACTGGCAAAAGTACATTAAACATTTCCCTGAGTTCTGTGAGCCATTATAGCAGATTTTTGGACCTGAGGGGGTGGTAACTGAAACACCTGGTTTTAGCTGATCAGTCAGAAGTGCAGGAGACAACCAGGGACTTCTGTCTGAAGTGGGCGTGGTCCCATGGGTCTGAGCACTTAACCTGTGAGGTGTGTGCTAACTCCGGATAATGTTAGACTGAATGGAATTGCAGGACATTCCATCAGTGTCCAGAGAGTTGAAGAATTGATTGGTTTGAGAAAATAACACCATTCATTTGGTGTCAGAAGTGTGAGAGAAAGGAAACAGTTTTTCCTTTAAGTATGACCCACCATGTCACAGGAGTACTAGAACCACTTGTACAACAGCAGTTTACCCTACATTTCTTGTTCATTAAGATATTTTAGTAAAACATCTGAACTTCATATAGAAATATATAAGAAGTTATAATGTATGCACTTACAAATATAAATATATATAACATCAGATATTAACATTAGGGAAAGCCTTCAAAAATATATGCTTAGGTTACTGTGTGCTTGATGGTAAAAGGATATCTCGCCCTATTCTGGGAACTAATAAGATGATAGAACTTATGCTAGTTTAAAATTAAGCACCTACTGGTACTTCCAATAAAAGATTCACAAAGCCTACAAGTTTTTGAGTAAAACACGAATTTAGGAGAATACAAATAAATATATCTATATATGTAAAAGCCTAAGCGACTGTTATGACCAAAGGACCAGAACAACTGGAACGATCGGTTGAATAGTCACTTTGACATGCACTGACCACCAGGGGGCAGACACTCAACGCAGGAACTACCCCCTGGTGGTCAGTGTGCTCCCACAGCCAACCTCCGGTGACCAACAAACCACCCACAGTTCCTCCCCCTGGCCAGCTGGTCCCGATTGGCTCCTGGTGCTAAACCATTCACAGATATCCTGCTTCTGGGTCAGGGTTTCATACATAGCAGAGAAGCTTCCTCACTGCGATCTAGTGAAAGTCATCGCTTGACACAAGTGTTTGTCTCACTCCTGTTCTCTCCCTTCCCTGGAGGGCCCCGCCTGCTGCAATGGCAGCATGGTGAGGGAAGGAGGAGGATGGGAGGCAGGGAACTGCATGGTGGCGGGGCAGCATCAATATCTGTTCTTTCTATTATATTCAACAGTTAATATTGTTCATCAGATTTTTTTTTAATTTCCTTGTTTTTTAGATTCACTTGTTGATAGTTACATATTTGTTGTTCATAATTTTTATCTTTATTTACTTTCTCTTCTGAAAGAACCCCCTTCGGCAATTCATATAATTCTGGTTTGGTGGTGATGAACTCCTTTAACTTTTTTTTATTTATTAGTGAAGCTCTTTATCTGACCTTCGATTCTGAGTGATAGCTTTGCTGGATAGAGAATCAGAGGTATGGAAGGGGAGTGAACTGACGATTCTTGGGGAAAAGGGGAGAGGGGGATGTGGGAAGAGACTGAACATAAACTGTGCTCCTATGGATGAGGACAATGGGGGGTGGGGAAAGGACAGAGGGTGGGGTGGGAACCTGGTGGAGGAGAGCAATGGAGGGGGTGGGGAAGGAACATTTGTAATAATATGAACAATAAAAATTTATTAAAAAAAAAATCTGTTCTTTCTGCGCCCAGCTTGGTGACCATCGCTTTCTTTCCCAAACCCCACTGGAGCCTTCAGGCCTTGGGCTGGGATGGGGAACCAGGGGTGGGGGCGGGAGGGCGTGGGGGCGGACTTGGACCCTTTCCCAGGGGACCAAGGGCCAGCTCCTCCTTGGAGCCAGCAGCCAATCTCTTGTGGTCCCATCTCCCTCCACCTGGTCAACCTCCCAGGGTCCCTTCCCACTCTCCACCCCCGTGCACAAATTTGTGCACCAGGCCTCTAGTTATACAATAATAATCCTCACTAACATTACTGAACCCTTCTTAACACAACAGACATTAGGAACGAAAAACGTTATGTGCTAAGAATACTGACTACTTAGCATAACTGGCTAAGTGCCAGAGGGAACCAGTCAGCTGGCTTGGATGTGACCCCCCTACAGAGACCATTTATTTAGCTGCCAGTGTATACCAGGCCTAATGCTATCTGTGTGGAGCAGGTCAATGCTGGAGGCAGTGTGTGCCTTCAAGGGCTCCACATAAGAAGGGGGCCAGGTCACATAGAATAGTTGCATGATATGTAGAATGTGGCCAGTGCCATGAGGAAGCTAGATACCAAGGTGCGATGAAGAACTGTCCAGCTGTTCCTCAAAATATTAATCACAGAGTTACCAGCAACTCCATTTCCAGGTATATACCTTATCTATATATATAAAAGGCTAATATGCAAAGTGTCCCCTTGGGAGTTTGACTAGGAGATTGGGAGTTTGATTGCTCTGACTACCAGGGGGTGGCATGAGACAAAGAGAGAATCTTACAAGCAGCAAGAGAAAAACCGTTAGTTACCTACAAAGAAGTACCCATAGGACTGTCAGCTGATTTCTCAACAGAAACTATGCAGGCCAGATGGGAGCGGCAATAAACATACAAAGTGATGAATACCAAGAACCTATAGCCAAGATTACTCTACCCAGCAAAGCTATCATTCAGAATTGAAGGTCAGATAAAGAGCTTCACAGATAAGAAAAAGCTAAAGGAGATCACCACCACCAAACCAGTATTATATAAAATGCTAAGGGTATTCTCTAAAAAGAGGGGAAAAAGATAAAGATAAAAATTATGACAACAAATACATATCTATCAACAAGTGAATCTAGAAATCAAGTGAATAAAAAAATCTGATGATCAGAATAAACTGGTGAATATAATAGAATCGGGGGCATAGAAAAGGAGTGGACTGATAATTCTCTGGGGAATGAGATCTGGGGGGTGCGGGGGAAGAGACTGTATAAAAACCTTACACCTATGGATGAGGACAATGGGGGGGATAACAACTTGGGGTGGGGTAGAAACTGAATGGAGGGGAGGAGCTATGGGGGATAAAGAGGAACAACTGTAATAATCTGAACGATAAAGATTTACTAAGGAAAGAAAAAAAAAAAAAAAGGCGAAGAGATTAGCCAAAGAACACATATGCATATCTCAGTCACAGATAACAGTATGGTGGAGGCAGGAGGGGCGGAGGCCAGGTGGAGGTGGGCAAAGAGGGAAATGGGTATATCTTTAATAGGGAAATTAAAAAAAAAATCTCTGAGGTTCAAAATTGGGAGAAAACTCCACACCTGGTTAAGGGAAGGGGATCAGGAGATGTCTGTGAGCCAGAGCTAATGGGAGGAACCCTAACTGGAATAAATCTCACAGCACTTCAAAGGTAAACTTCACCTTCTTTAACCAATGACCTTTCACCTGGTGGGACAGGGTACCTAATGGCCAGAGAGAAAGGGCCAGACTGTTTTGTCTGTGGGACACCACTCAGCTCACAGCTGGGGCAGGGGTTGCCCCTCTGCCCCTCTAAGTGCAGCCGCCTGGCCACTGTCTGCTCCACCAGAGCCTGAGAGCTCTGCACTGACCAGTCGGGGGAGCTGAGCTCTGAAACCACCTGTAATCAGTCTCTTCAATGTTTGTGACCAGCACAGCATGTTTTAAAAATGCTTCTAACCTAAACATTTGGTACTTCCTACAAGAGGCATCTGCTCTAGCAAACTGTTTCTCAAGCCTTATTGCACATAGGAGAGAAAAATGAGTTCTTGTCCCAAGTGTGCTGTGTGGCGGCAGAGGCACCAGCAGGGGCTTCCTGAGGCAGGAGGGAAGGGTAGAGGCCCCTGGAAGGAGGGAGTGTCACAGCGGGAGGGAGGTGGCAGGGAGGCACTCAGGTCTGCTGGCAGACAGCATTTTACCCACCACAGAGGAGATGCTGACTGATGTCTGGAGGCTCTTGTCACACTAAGTAGATGTGTGTTTTTTGATACACAGAGAGAAAGGAACATCTATCTGTATGTACCTGGGAAAGGCAGGAGGATTTCATGCAGCAACAAATAGCCACACTGGGCATTCAAGGACAGAGACAAGCTTGTCAAGAGAACAATGTAGACAAACACAGAGAGGGTAAAAACGTCAGATTCCTGCAGAGATTAAAAAATTGCTCAGGATGACCAGACCATGACATACACAGGGGAGAAGCAGCTATGGGAGGAGGGTCTGTGTTGTGTTTGGTTTGAACTGTATCTGGAGGACACCAAAGGACTTTAGGCAGATGTATAACACTACACACACACACACACACACACACACACACACATATTTACACACTAATGCTCAGTAAAATAGAGGGTGGTGTGAAGAGGCAGACGGAATTAGCCAGAGGCCGCGGCGATAATCCTGGACCACTGCAAAAGGTCCACTGGGCAATCACTCAGAGATGAAAACAATTAATATGTGGAATTATAGTCCTTAGTTGATGGGTTACATTTTATAGGGCTAAATTTGTTTTACTGTTGGCCAAGCTATACCTACTTCCTTGAAAAAGAAGACAGAAAAACATCTCCCAGGCACTAGTCAAGGATGAAGAAAGAAATCCATTCCAAAGTCTTATAAGTATGTGTATTAACTAAACCACGTGTGCATGAGTAGTAAAGAAAGCATTTTTTTGTTTGTTTCAAATTTTCAACATAAGGGAGGGCACAAATAGGTTTACAGCTTTTAAAAACCTTGGAATTTCCTAAGTGATGAGAGCTATAATGGTGTCTCTTGTTATTCATAATAAGTCCCTTTCAACCATGCTGGACTTCATGTTAATATACTGATTTTTGGAAAGCCCCTTAGATAACCTAAGGATATGAGCTGGTTGCCAGGAGAACCAAACACATTTGAGAAGGTTGGAACTTTCAGCTCTACCCTCTGACCTCCGGGGAAGGGACGGGGCTGGAGGTTGAATCAATCACCCATAGCCAAAGATTTAATCCATCATGTCTATGTACTGAAGTCTCAAAAAAAATCCAAAGGAGAGGTCTGGAGAGCCTCTGGAGTTGGTGCACACGTGGAGGGGTTGGGAGGGCTGCACCTGGAGAGCATGAACGTTCTGTGCTCCTTCCACACACCTCACCTCGCCCTAGGCATCTCTTCCAGCTCACAGCTTCTGTGATCGCCTGTATAACAAGCCAGTAATCGAGTTCTGTGAGCTACTCCCATACACCAGAGGTTAATGGAACCTCTGACCTACAGCCAGTCCGTCAGAAGCACAGGTGATGACCTGGACTTTGAATTGGCATCTGAACTGGCGGGGGCGGTCTCATGGGGTGAAGCCCTTAACCTGTGGGTAGGCAGTGTCAGAATTGAGTTCAATTATAGGACATCCAGCTGGTATCTGAGAACCTGAGAATTGTTCGATGTGTGGAAAGGAATCCACATGATTGGGGATCAGGAGTGCCCGAGGTGAAGTAGAGTGCTGAGGGGAGAAAACACACAGAAGTGCTTTCCCTTGCAGGTAGGAAGGGGAAGAGACTCCCCTCATCCTTGGCCAGCTTTGCTCTGAGGCCCAGGAAGCGGAGCAAGGACGCTCCCTTAAAGCACTGCCCCATGCACCTGGCTGCTGACGGTCAATGAGGCACGGAATGGGGAGTTGCAGAAGTGAGCAGACACTCTCAGGCTCTGACTCCATGGTGAGCATAAAAAGATGGAGCCTCAACTGCCTTTATACCAGTTCCCACCCCTATCTTCACATAAGGGGGCCACAAGATAAAGCAGAGACTAAACCAATATTTTCCCTTTTGTCTGACCTCCACTTTCAAAATCGTTTCTATGTGACTCTATCACTGGCCTGACTATAAACTCTGTTTCAGAGAAAGGATAAGGGCACCTTACCGGGTAATCGGATTGGCTTCCAAGGGGCAGAGTTTGGCACATAGGCATGCTTTGTGGCAGTGACGATCAGCTGACTGCCCAGCTTATACTGGAACTTGATGAAGGCCACGCCATCTGCCCCCGAGGTGCCAGAGGCGATGGAGACCTGGTTGGTGAAAATCTCGATGAGCGCCTCCGGGACAGGCTGGTGGGTGCTGGCGTCACTGATGTGGACCTTCAGTGTAACTTCTGGAAGAGAAAAAGCAATGCAGAACAAGAGCTGTTTATCAGGCACTTCCACAGCGATTCTGCTGTCAGTGTGATAGGAGGTGGAAAGTGCTAAGAAAATCAACATCTTCCTCCAAAATACAAATAATTTTAACTATGAAATATTTCCTTCTTAGAGATCCCTTTTTCTTTTATACTAGAGGCCCAGGGCACGAGGTTTGTGCACAGGTGGGGTCTGGCCGGCCAGGCCTCTGATTGGCAGATTGAGGCCAGGCCTGTTGGAAGGAGGAGATGGCTGGTGGGCCCCGCCCCTGATTGGGGTAAGGGTACAGTTGGGGGTGGAGCCAGCCATGGGGAGGTGCTGTGGGTTGGCCACTCCCCCCCAAATGAGGTGGGGGGCCAATTGGGGGCCAGTGGGTGGTTGGCTGGCCAGCCCTTTCTATGGGGGAAAGGGCCATGGGTAGTTGCCTGGCCAGCCCTTTCTTAATTGAAGTGGGGGGCCAATTGGGGGTGGAACTGGGTAGGAGGAGGGGCAGCAGGCTGATCGGTGGTGGCCCATTGGAGGTGGGGCCATCAGGAGGGAGGAGCTGTAAGAGATTGGCTGGCTGGGCCTGCCCCCTATTGGGGTTGGGGAGGCGATTAGGGGCTGGGGTGGCTGGGGAGAGGGGCTGTGGGCTGATTGGGGTGGGGGAGAGTTTAGGGGTGGGGTGTAGGGCTGGCCCCACCCCCTGATCTGGCTGGTTCACTGGGTGCAGTGAGCCTCATAGCTACCAGTCATTTTGGTCATTACAGCATTCTGATTACTGGCTTTATATATATATATATACTAGGAACCAGTTGCAGGAAGATTCCTGCAAGAACAGGACTTCAGGCGGGCTTCCCTCCTGCCACCACCACCTCTCCTACCCTGCCCTCCCCACGCTTTCCCTGTGCCTCTGCCCCCTGCCCCCTACCCCCACTCCATGCTTTTCCTCCCACTGCCAACCCCCCCCCACCCTCTGCATTTTCCCTCCCGCAGCTGTCGCCCACCCTGCCCACACTTTCCCTCCCTCAGCTGCCTTGCTTTCCACTTTCCCTCCCTCTTCCTTCTATGCTGTCTTCAGTCTTAACTCCTCCCTCCCTCAGCGTATACAATCTAACTGCAAAATTTGTTGGGTTAATTTGCATACTCACTCTGATTGGCTGTGGGCATAGTGAAGGTACGGTCAATTAGCATTTTTCTTTTATTAGTGTAGATAGAATCTATATTATATATGTTTTCCTATTTTGTTCAAACCAATGACCCTCACCAACTGCTTTCTCTTCACTCCTTCCTACTCATGCCAACAAATAATTGAGATAAAAACTCGATCCCTTTAAGACATTGTGCAGCAACCACAGTATTCTTTTATCCTCCCCAGCACTGCCTGCAAACACAGCCTGAACAGGCTTAAGCTGCTACGAAGGATATAAGCAAAGCAGGATAACTGTGTTGGTAATCATGAAGACTAGACCCAAACATAGTCTAAATATCATTAAAAGGGAGAACCCAAGAGTGGGAGGAAGATGGTTAGAAGAAAAAAAAGAGGTACATGTTTGAAGAGATAAACGAAGTTGAATCAATAATTCGGGCAGGAAAAAAAATAACAAATGTGGGAAATGAACAGATCCAAATTAATGTTAACATATTAAAACAGATGGGAGTATTTTCATTTTTTCATGCAAGAGATGTTTACTGAGCTGCTACTCTATGCCTAGAATTGAGAGTAACTGTGCAAACTACAGTGGTGAAGAAAAGTGAGTATACAGGCCAGTGCTATGCTTGGAAGACATTTGGTGCAGGAATGAAGGGGCCACTGATGGAACAGCATACGCAAAGTCTCAGAGGCAAGAAAAAGTATTGCTTCCTGAGAAACAGAAAGAGGGTCTGCAAGCTGGATGAAGAGTTTGAGGGGGTCTATGATTCAATGGGAGACAATATTAGAGAGGCAAATAGGGGCAGGATCACTCAAGACTTTAGAAGAGCTTTAAAAAGATTTTTTTTTTTTAATTTTGGTCTCTCCGTAGTTTTCCCTCTCTCCCTCCTTTCTTCCCTCCCTCCCTCCCTCCCTCCCTCCCTCCCTCCCTCCCTCCCTCCCTCCCTCCCTCCCTCCCTCCCTCCCTCCCTTCCTTCCTTCCTTCCTTCCATGTCCTTATCCCCTCTGTGTGCCCCCTCCCTCATGCCCTCACCCCCCTGGTGTCTGTGTCCATTGGTTAGGCTTATATGCATGCATACAAGTCCTTTGGTTGATCTCTCTGATTGATGCTTCTCTGTCTCTCTCTGTTTTTGTTCATCAGTTTATGTTGTTCATTATATTCCACAAATGAGCGAGATCATGTGATTAAAAAAAAAAGATCATTCTTTATCCCAAGGGCAATGGGAAGTCAGAAAGGTTTTCAACAGGGAAGTGGAAATCAAACTTACAGAAACATCTGGCTCTGGCTGAAGGACAGACTAGGGAAGAGACAAGACTGAGGACTGAGCTTCTACTTCAGAAGCCTCTGTAATAACCCAGGAAGAGAGGACAGTGGACCAGTCCCCAGCATCACGATGTTCTTCAATTAAAGGACTACATTCCGGAACAACGAAAGGCGCATTCTGCTCCAGCAAACTTTTTTCTTAGGTGCTTGTATCCACAGCTCTTCCACAACCGGGCAACCACATGGAGAACGACTTATTTTGCTTCGAGGACCTCTATCTTGGTAACTTGCCAACTATCTTATGATACTAAAGCAGCCTTTTCAATACCTCAAGTTTTATCAATACTGCAAAGTTAATCAATCATTTTTCACCTTCCGACTTAATATATTTCTGGACTAGATGACCATAAAAAGTCAAATAACTCTAGACTTAGGGACTATAGATCTGTACTAAACCAATGTCTCAAAACTTTTGTACAGAAAAAAACACATAAGTGCTACAGAAACTGAACTGGGCTACTTCATACTATAGAAGGAAAAAACTAATGGCCAAGAGAGTGATAAAACCAACGTCATGAAAATCAAGGATTATGAAGCTCATTTAATTACCTCCAGTGTTATCACCATCGCTTTGATGCAGATTTTCAAGATGTATCCTACACATGATTTCTTCTGTAACTCAGTCTTCCTTGTCCCCAGCTGGCATGTCAAGTTATAACACATACTAACTCAGCTTTCATTAATATTCACACAAAGTCCTCTACAACAGGGCGAGTGGGAGGGTGGCTTATTGCAGGGCTGCACTGATGATTTATGTATTTTATGGTAATGCAACATTTGCTAACAATTGGGGTTACGAGATTTCTGCTCTCTCTTCACTGTTTGCTGGGATGGCAAAAGCAGCTGAGCTTTGGGAAAAGCTAAAGGACTCTGAATAAACACAGAAAGAAAAAGTTCTACTGAAATAAATGTCCTCTAGTCTACCACTTGAATTTTTTCTAATATAGGAAGCTTAGTTTATGTTCTGCAATGATATGCTTTGGAATGTGGTAGGCAGACAAACAAGGGCAAAGCCAGGACGATAGGCCAGGTACAGAAGGTCACCAGGGCGGCGAGCCCCAGGGGCCTAGAAACAGACAAAATTGGGAGAACAAGGACCTCGCCCCCAGGGTGACCTCTGCTTCCCTAGAATATGGCTGGGCAAGCGGTTAAGACCCCCTGACCTTTTGTATCGGTAGTCATGCGGTTCGGACCCTCCCCAGACCTTTCCTTCCCTGGCGTGTCGCTAGTCATGTGGGAGCCCCCCTTAGAGGAACAAGGGGTTAAGAGTGGCCGGATGTGATGCCGTATGCACAGCTACTCTCTTACGCATTAACCCTTAGAGATAGCATCTGGCCTCTGTTGTGTTTCAACTCCAAGCCCAGGAAAACAGCAAAACCAGACAAGTGACACCATGGCTGACAGCAGGACCAGCCGCGCTGATTAATGACCCCTGCCCTGGCATTGGCCAATCAGTGGAGACCGTGACCATGAAAGGACACACCTGGAAAGCTAATGAATATTCTATTGAGACCCTTCCCTGGAACTTCCCCTAAAATCTCTACCCTTTAAAACCATTAGGATAGCTCTAACTGGTTTGGCTAAATAGATACAAAAAAATAGTATCCCATAGGTCAGGGGGTGGCAGATGTTTTTTGTAAGGGCCAAAAATAATAGGTAACCTTTCCTTCCCTAGAATATCACATTTTCTAGGGAGGGGGATACATTTCAATTCATTCACAATCAGGCCCCACCTGATCCCCCATACTGCCCCCCGGCCCCCAGACACAGCCCCACACTTCCCCCTTCCCTCCCTTCCATGTTTCATCTCTGTAGGAAATGCCTTTCTACAACTTTATCTTCATGTTGCTGATTCCTATTCATCCTTTTAAAGACCTAGTTAAGTTTTATTTGAGAAACAGCTCTGGACTCAACAAACCCTCCCCAAACTGGGTGAGAGGCTCCACACAGTCTATACTGACACCGGTCCCTCCCCTATATGATGTCTGTCAGCATTCCTTGTAGGCTGACTATGTGCGCGGACAGTGTGCTCAGACCCCGGACCTGAGGAGCTTTCAGCTTTAGATATTAAATGAACACTGAGTATCATTTAAAAATGGGAGAAGTGCCTCACAGGAACACTGAGCACCACAGGAGAGGATGACAGAGGGGTGTCAGGGATGGCCTTGTGAGGAGCTATCACTGAAGCTCAGGCCTAAAGGATACAAAGGACCCAGCCAGACAGAGAGGCACAGGCAGAGCTGCAAATGCTGGGGTAAGAATGGCCTGGTGGCGCTCCTGCCTGAAGATGGTGGTCCACACCTCACAGGGCCACTGCTGCATAGCATCTGGTGTGCTCTGTGGGTCCCCCAGGAATAGAGGTTCTCATTTTTTAAAATTAATTTTATGACCTTAAGGCCTAGCCTGGTACCTAGAGCCAACAGGTATCAATAAAAGTGTGTGAAATTAATGAATGCAGGAGTGAAAATAACCGTCTCCTTACACTGCACTGTCCAATACGGAAAACACTGGCCACATAAAGC